GAAAACACAATTATGGGATACGTGTTTGCAGGATTTGATGACATTGATGAAATATTTAACCACTGTATTGACCGTACATTTAAGTTTTAGTTGGCCTTAAGGGAGTTTCTGTGGCAATTTTCTTGCTATGACTTTGCTTGCCACCCGGAATACCACTTATCTCAAAACACTGATGAAAAGGCTGTCCAGAAATCTCATGTTAAATGGCTGAAACAAGCAATTTCTTAGGAAAAAAAAAGCCCTGAAGCAAATCTGGGAAACATTCAGTCCCTAACAAACACAGGAGTGAATATTTGGTGCTATTTGACTGATTCCAGCACAGCTCTCCTTACAATACTTGAGGGTTTATTTCTTAATGACCGACAGTGACAGAAAGACTTTTGCATTACCATAGTACTGACATTTTCTGCATCAGAATGGTATTTCCAGAAACACAATACAGCACTAACAAAAATGCTGATGTGTCAGTATGCCAGCGTGCCAGCTTCATCCATTATGGGAAGTACTTCACATTATGACAGGTCAGAAATTAGTGATGTTAAACAGAGAAAATAGATCTACAAAAATCATTTAAGAAATTACAGTAAACAAGATTTCACACTATAAATTCATTTTGGCAGGAGATAGATGGTCTCGTCTCACTACTTTATCACCAAGTGACCCAGATTTTCACCTACACAATCCACTAAAAAGTACTTAATAGAACACAGAAACAATTGGACATTTGGAAAGCTTTCTGAATGACCTTCAGAAAATATATACAAAGCTCCTTGGAGACATTCTTCTGTAAACAAGGCTGGTCATTCATAAAGAGAAATACCAGTTTTGCAGTTACCAAAACTACTTAAATAGTTTTTACACCAAGACAGAACTTCCCAGCAGAAGAGTCCTTCAGGCCAAGCCACATGAGAATTCCAATTTATAACTACTTCTATATTCATAATTTCTTTGGCTTTTTATGCTCTGTTTCTGTTTGCGTTGGTGAATAGTATCTGCATAAAAGTTCCTTTTGTGTTGGCAGTCAACTGCAATTTCCAAGAAGGTCTCTGCATCGTCTGTGTTGTTTTGGCATACGTGTCACATGAAAAATACAATAGCTGGGCATAAAAATAGAAAATAAACTCAGCATATGTTTTGTAAAGATATTCCAAACTTCTGTATACTGTAGTATTTAGTTACCTATTTTCATTTCAACTTTTTCCCTTATTGAAAGCAGAAAGAGCACAGCATAGAGAAACAATCTAATCAGTTTTTTCTCAAAAGGAGATGACCTCAGAAGGTTCACATCTATAGTAATTTCTTTCTGATTTTACAGTTGCAGTTTGTCTCATTTAGATTTTAGTAGCGCTGACTTTTTAGCTTCAACATCTCTTGCGGATCATTTGTTTACCTGTCAGGCTTGAGACGCATCTCTGGAATTTAGTTTTCTGTTATGTTCTTTGTGCTTAGCCAAATGTCACTGATTCTAAAATATTTTAACATAAACCATTATATGAAAATACAGGCTTGAAGTAGTTCAGTGATAACTGAAGTGAGCTGTGTACAAATAGGACTAGTGTCATCTGGTCTTAGTCTTCTTGTTCTGAAATTCAAAATGTTTACTCAGCAGTTTACTATTTTGGTAGAGTGGGGCTTCAGGTAATATTTAAAGGCAAGCTTCTCTTCTTGTAGCTAACATGCGCTCCTGTGATGAACTGCTGTAGGACTTGTGTCGTGTAACTATGTTCACTGTTGATTCAGAATATTTGACCGTGTGCTGTAAATGACAGACTTGTCTATAATAGACATCAATGTTTTAAATCTTGATTCTTCATCATTCTTTATTAGTTATATTTTTATACATCATTGCAATTATTTGGGTATTCTCTTATTCACAATACTACCAGAAGAAAACATAAAACAAACCAAAACAAAGCGACCCCCCAGGTTTTGTACTTGGACAGCCTTCAGTATGAATTCTGTGGTTTTAATTTTGCTGGCATATAAACTGGGAACAGTCAGAGCCACAGAGCACAAACACCAGTGCATGTTCCATCCTCTGCTATGGCTTCAAATCTATAAGTGTGTGCCTTTTGTGCAATGGGTCAATGTCAAGGTATACCCATTTTCCCATGATTGCAGTCATTCTTTTAACACTCTTTTGTAAAATAACTTCTGCAGGATCATCCATCTATTTCTGTCAGCTAAAGACTGTTGGGACCCCAGGTCCCAAGCCAGCTGTGGTTGTTTCTGACTGTTCTGCATAGAATGCATTGGAAATTGCAGAGTTTCTCTAAGATATTTCGACTGAAGCCTATGTATGCTGTATGGACATAACCTTAAAAATCATATTTAACAATTGGCTGAACTAATTAACCAGGTCTAATAGGAAAGGAACTTCATAAAGTGTGTAAGGGGCTTTTCACTTTCAAAAAAAAGGTGCAGAATTCCAGACCAGTTCCAGAGCTGAGCATTCAGATGCGAAGTCTTTAAGTATTTAAAAATTGTATTCTCAGAGTGTTGCTGTTTAGAAATGAAAAACAGGAGTAATTCCTTCAATGTCAATGCACTGACAATGATGTAAAAGTAAACTGTTAACACTTTTGTCTAGTGGACAAAACACAGATGGTGTAGGTCTGAACAAATAACAACTTGAAATCTGTTCCTTAGGAGTATTTGTAATTAATAAATGAATGATTAACTTCATATGGTTTTTAGGCTACAAGTGGAGAAAATTCTATTCTACATGAGCTACCAATGAACCCACAATGATGACTACTTTGCATTTGATTTGAACTCCTTTTAAACCAGAGCAACTAGTAAGGCTGATTACTTTCCCTCTGGATTGGTAACAGGTGTCTTCAGTTAAAGCCTATGCGTTTGCCTTGAACTTGTATGTTCATTGTCACTTTGTAGAATTTTATGCAGCCATGAATCATTTCTACTAGGTAAGACATGATAGCAAAAGTGGCAATAAAATTTTGGGGGCTAACTAGTATTTTGCTTTTGGAACTTTTGAACACCTGGGGACTCTCTGTGAGCCCTGAATTCCTTAGGGTTTTGTGTAACCTCTCAGAATTACAATTAGCTCTGAAAAAGGTTTCAAGCAAAAAGTCAGTGTGTGCAGCTTAATTCCCCTGTTTCAGAGAAGTCTTCCTCTACTGTCAGGTAAATATTGTTAATCCTTTAACATAGCTGTTTTTGTACTAATTCCATCATTTTTTCATAAGAAAATTTTCATCTGACTTAAAAACTAGATAGAACTTCTTCAGGATTAATCCAGAACATCCTGCATCTCTGCATCACTGTTGTGATCTAATTAACTGTTGTCTTATATTGGTTAAAAAACAGTTATTGTGCTTTGCTGTTACTTTCTGACCACTGTATGAGGGAACAGTACAATGTAAGGATTGAAAGAACAGATCAGTTGGAACTTCTGCTGCTTTCTGTACTGTTCCAGTCAAAGCACACTCCTGGCTATGGCATATATTTAACTAGGCTGTTAGTGTATTTCACACTTCCTGTACTGCGAACAGCTATACCAGTTCCTCTTCCATCATTAGCAGAAAAAGACACAGAAAAAAAAATAATTTTTGAGGTGATTCCTCTCATTCCTTTGACCCTTTCATTTTCCAACTAACTTTATATAAAGAAAACATTTTGACTGTAGTGGGGATAAAAGTATGAGGCAACCAGGCTGACATAGGTGCAATTACTGCCTTCATATTGCTGCAGAAGCTGAGAGTAGTCACCTAAGAATTCTGAGCCTAAAAACTTGGAACTTGCTATATGAGTGGAGCACTTTGCAGTAAAGTTTTGGAGCATCAGTAAAGACTTTATATACTGAACTAGCTTCGGCTTTTGTGATTTTGGAGTCTATTCTGTAAAAACTATCATGAGGGGAGATTATGGAAGAAATTCCTTATAGCAAATGTGCCAATTTAATTAGTGAAGGATATATTTTTAAAGTGTAAAGACAAAATGAATCAGTGAAAGATAAGATTGAAAGGAGAACAGCATGCATAAAAGTATATTTAAGGTTACGCCTTTAAAGTCTGAATTGGTGGAAATCCACATGAATAATTCCCTGAAAGGAATTCCCTGCTAAATCAGAATCTCATTAACTTTACCGATACTTCTAATGCTGAGATATTAATGTGTCTAGGTTTTTAATAAATCATGATGTGACCTCATATAGAATAATAGGAAATAATATTTTTTTCTCAACTAATTATTATGAGTATAAAGGGAAAAACTTTTCAGGCGAACAAAATGATTCATGGGATAAAAATAAAAACCAGGCTACTGGCTTTAATTACCATTTTTAAAAATGACTGATTAATTACCATTTTTGAAAATGACTTTGATCCGTCAGATTATGAGGTGAAGCAGTTGGTAGCTTTGGTTTAAGGAATTATTCATTGATTGTAGGGACTTAGCTGCATGTAGGAAGGGTTCTGAGCTTCTTCAGAGAAGCAGATGTAGAAGACAGAAGCGTAGTGGAGTAATATGACTAATAAAAAAATGTTAAGCAGTTATTAGAATCTGCTGATTTTAAAAAGCGGATGTTCAGAATAAAACCTCTTTATGCACATAGTTGCCAAAGTCATCCCTAGCACTATAGGAAGCATCTTGATATATTTCACTGCAAATCTGAACGAGTAGAGACAAGAATGCTTTTTATATTATTTTTGGCTTGACCTGAATGATTAAAAAAGGGAATTATCTGATATTTTATGAATATTCTCTGATTCAATCAAATAATTTAATTATTTTTTTCTGAACTAAATATTTCTTCCCAGGAAAGTGGTGGACTTGGTGTTTATGCTATTTGCAAAATTCCAAGGGGAGGAAAAAAAAAAATCTCTTCAATTTTAAATTAAATAAAAAGTTTAAAGCTTTTTTTTTTCCTAGACTATGTCAATAAAATTAATTAACTTTATTTATTGGGTGTATCCGTTAACATGACAGAGTCTTGTTTCCATAATTATCACTTTTTTTTTTTCTCTCTGTTCTTTTAGAGATCATCTATAGCTGGGTATTTAATGAATTCCCATCTTTTGTGACAGAAGACAGCAGACGCTTCATCTCTCAGGAGACAGGCAATCTCTACATCTCCAAGGTGCAAACATCTGATGTTGGCAGTTATATATGCCTGGTAAAAAACACAGTGACAAATGCCAGAGTTTTGAGTCCTCCTACACCTCTGACACTGAGAAATGATGGTAAGAAAGGCATTATTTCTGAGTACCATATGGAAAAGTAAAAATACTAAGCCAAAAACATTCTATTTAATTTAAGAACCATGATTTTATTGTTTTTCAATATATGCATGCATTTACTGCAGCAACCAGCAAAGGAAAGGTGCTCATAGAGACAGTTTCTTTTAAAACATCTAACAGTTGTGAGAATATTTAGACCTCTGAAGGCTGAGGTGCAATCTCACACCTCCTGATGTATTTCATTTAGAACAGTTACTGCTTGCTATTCTGGTGCTCTGTCACTGACAGAGAGAAGCAGTAATGTCTGTTTCTTTAGGGCTCTGTTCAGTTGCCTCAACACAGGTGGCCCCTGCCACACTGAGACACCTGAGACATCCACAGGGGGACTGGCAGTTACCACACAGGGCATACAGATCAGCAGCAGGATGCCAGGAAGTGCATTCATGCATCTCAGGTGACACAAGGCACACATGGTTAGACAGCTGAGCAGAGGATGTATTGCTTAAAACTTTACCTGTTGCTGCACTAAAGACATGTAACACTTCAACACAGCAGTTCAATACACTGATTAAGTACCAGCAAGAGTATTGCAATAGCTTTGATTATAATAATAGTTACCCAGGTAGTTTGGGATTTCATCAAGGCATAGAAATGCAGTATTTTTTTCTGTAAATAAATACCTAAATCTTATTATTGAGAAGTGTCTTAGGATTCCCACACACACACCCCAAATCAAAAGAAAATACCTTGCACTAATATTTCTTATGGAACAGTGTGACATTTCAATATAAATGATATGTAACTCCAATTCTTTCAGAGTATCTGCCTATAGAGACGATTGTGTTATTTGCTCTTTTGCAGCTAAAAGATTCATATTTATTGCAATATAATTGCCTTTGTTGTTTTTTTTCTGTCAAAATAATGTTATTTTTGAGAGTAATAATTAATAATTCCATGTCTATATTTTCCTTTTTCCAAGATGTTCCACATTTAGTGATGGTTTCTAGTTCTTCAGAAATACATTTCAGCAGTTCAGCATATGTGAATTCATACTTGCATAAATCAGAGAGATTGATCATGGATTGTAGAGAAAGGAAAGAGACTTTGAGCCTTTTGTCTTGCCTATACCTTTTTCTAGAAACAAGGTTGGTCCTATGCTGTAGAAACTGCTTATAAACACAGATGACTTCTTAGTTTAACAGAGTTTAGTAAAAAATGTCTTCACAGATTAGAATGGAATTAAGTTATTGTTCATGATAATAAGATGAAATTTCTCTCTGCACAGCATGCAGCCTCTGCAGCAAAAAGCTGAATCTTTTACTGTATCATTTACTATTTTCTTTTGCTGGCTTAGTACCTATGCTAATTATTGAGTTTCAAGTGTTTAGTTTTACTGATTTAAAACAAACAAACAGCAAAATTGACTAGATATGCTTCTATTTGGTCCAGCTTTGTGCAGAAATTCAACAATTAAATATCCATATCATACTAAGAGTACATAGGCACACAATGCAGTTTAAGAAATAGAGTAAATAAGAATAAAGGTAGCAGTCTAAATCTCTGAGCTAAGAAACACAATCTGTGAAGGAAAACTGCACAGATTTTTCTAAATGTCAAGTGGGTAGTATATACCAGCCTCAAGCAAATTCGTGTTTCACTGCTGGCTGTCATATAACTGTCATAATCCAGCCTTCTGATCTGTGCTGGAGTATTGGGGAGGCATTTGTACATGGATGAACTGCTCCTCAGCAGTTTCACAGTTCATTTTTTTCACATGTATAATTTCTACCAGGCTTCCATGCCTTAATTTTTACCTGTTGGAATCTCTGAAAAGCCCCTTTATTCCAATTAAGTTCTTTAGTATTTCTTAGTAGACTGCTTGCTTTCCTATATGACCGAGCAGGTTTCTCGGTGAAGAGACCCAGATTGTCTGCCTAACTTTGCAGTCTCCACAAACCTACCACGAAAAAACATTCAGGAAAATTCTGGTTGCAAAATAATATTTATGATTTATGACCTCTGCCATTTTAGGAAGTTCTACGTCCTCCACAGAATGCAATAATATGGGCATCTTCAAAACTAATATAAAAGTTCCAGTAATGCTAGCGTGCCTTTTCTTTGTGATAGAAATTGCTTTAGGTTATATTGCCTTGTTCATTGGCAGATAAAAAAGGGTGATGACAAAATTTTTAAAATACATATACATTATACTCCAAAATAAGGGATAATATAGCTGCTGAAAAGAAGTGCCCAGTAAAGTTAAAGAAAATTAGAGTAATTTGTGGAGAAAGAAACAGCTGAGGATGGACCCTAATAAGGGAGAAATTAAGAATATCTAAGCAGCTGAAAATTTGTTTGAAACTATGTTGCTGAGTTACATGATTTTGAATATGGCTTTTTAAGCTTTTTTTATTATTTAAAAAGTAGAAAACAGATTTGTCAGAAGCCACAAGAAGAGCGTGTGTTTTTAAACAGCTTTTCCAAAAGCCACAATATAAATAAAGCTGTTCATATAGTCTGTATTCTCATATGGACATATGTATCTAACTCAAAATTCAACTTCATATACTTATTGTCATTTACTGATTTTGATATCGAAAGAGTACCTGTACCCAGGAGACTGGGCAGCTTGTGACAAAAAACACTCTTATACCAACATTGGTCTCTATCTATGGGGAAGAAACCAAATGAAATTAAGGCTTTCTGTCAAACTGCAAAAATGTAGGAACTTCCTGGGCTTTTATTAATCTTCTATTTCTTTTGTATGTGTCTCAAAGAGGAACTTAGCTCCGTGATATGAAGCACATTAAATAAAAACATCAAGAAATCCTTCAATGAATTCCGAATAAAATGAATACCTCATTTGTTCAGATGTCCTTGACAATCAGTCATTTTGTACAATTCAATTTTACTTCAAGTTGGGTTATAAAAACACTCTAAAATTCTAGCTGAGGAGAGAAAAAGTTTTAACATGAAAAAAAAATTACTCATAATTTCATTAAGTGCCTTTATAATGTATTAGAAACTTCGAAGAATTATTTAATAACTGCTTACAAATAATACACAGGTTGTTAAAATGGATCTTTGCAGGCTTGGATGCTGATTGGGAGCAGCAAATTATCTTGACTAATAAAAACCAACAGAAAGCCTCTTCAAATTTAGGAAATAGAAACCTAGAGAGTATAAAACATTTGATGCTTGATTATATAAGGCAGTTGTTTCAAGTTCACACAATTTCATTCCAGTTTTTCTTCCTTTTATATATATATATATATTTTTTATTTCTCTTGAAAGGATATTAACTTTAACATTATTACTGTGCAGATGAGAATTAAGTAATACTTCATTTTATCTCCATGTAGATACTGCCTAGTGCTTTGCTGCAGTGAAGTTTCCAGGAAAACAAACAAAACCCTGTACAGTATCAGACATCAGAGGGCATTTTCTACTGTGTTCCATTATACCGAAGTAGTTAATACCTCAACAGAGGTCGGTGTATCTAACCAGACATATACTCACATAACTGAATGCAGACCACCTTCAAATTTTTTTCCATGTCATCATATTTGTCCAATCTGAATCTTGTCTGTCCTAATACTATTGATTAATTCTATGTGATTAATAGTCTCACATAATGATAAAATGTATAGTTCTTAAAGAATTAAGGATGCTAATTTCTACTTTTCCATGATGGAATGTGCTCTGCATGTGTTTATCAGGTTGAACTCGGAGATATGTTGTTTGGACATTACTGGGTTATCTAAAGATCTCTTTCCTAGCATTAAAAAAAAAGTTTGGGAGAAATCATAGAAATTTCCCCAGTTGTGGAAATTAATCAATAAAAAGGACCAGCATGGGATGGTTAGTTATTAAGTAATACATGCAAATAAAGGTAGGGCAAAATCAACAGTTCCACAGACATAGGCTATTTTCACCCCCAAAGAATGCTGACAGTTGTTAATTAACTGATAACTAACATTAAAAAGATGCACTTAAAGATTAACCCTAACGTTTATAGTCTGCCAGTTTTCCCCTTCCAGAAATGCATAGATCTTTTCTTTAGTACTTGCATTACTAGCTTTGTCTTCTAATATGTTTATTCATATGGAGCTGAATTCTACAAGACACAAACCATACCCATATTGTAATGAGAGCTGAAAATACTTACACAGCTCTGATTTAATCCTGCCAGCTTTTCTGGAGTTTCTGACCTTGTACACTGCATCATTTGTGTGGGTTATATTACAATTAACTTACACTTTTAAGTGTCCAGTCACATCTTATAAAATAATTGTTCAAATCTATAAAAAACATGCAAGATTGGCTAGAAACTGTGGGATCTCCTCCTAATGCTGCAGGACAGAATGTAAACCTGAAATGATCCTACTTTGATTTGTTTTTAAGCAGAGCCAAACTGTCTTTGCAAAATCAAGTTTGATCTCTAGCTGTATACAAAGACGGATAGCACTGACAGAGGCGTCAAAGTACGCAAGGTCTGCTTTAGGGGGAAGGCTGATAAATTGCCAATGTCCTTGCACAGCTATTACTCTTGTGGTAAATATGTTGTTTTTCCACTAAAATTGTAGTAAGGTGTTTTAATGATGGGTCATAATGAAACTGAAAATTAAAGATTTCCCACAGTCTTTGCTTTTCTAATAAAAATACATCCTTCAAGGGTTACAGGTATTCTGAAGAAACACTTCATCTGTTTCATTCTGGCTCTTGTGCTTAGATCCCACTACACAGTTGTCAAAAATAATAGGATGAAAGGCAGGATTAAACAAAGACATAAAATTGGAGGGGGGAAGATTCTTGGTTTTGTTTCAAAGCATAAAATAAATGAGCTCAAGAAGAAATTATTCCTCTCAATTCAGTTCAGGATTGGGAATGATGTTGCATCAAATGGTAGCTATTAAGATTTCAGACAGAGTGTGGTGTTAATGTTATAACTAACGGTGACCAAATTAAAGTTTCAGCAAATCATAGAACAGAATCACAGAATA